TGATCCATCTTCTAATCCAGATGCATTGCTGAATTGGATGGGCAACTGAATCTTATGGTTAGAAGTGGCATGAAGCTTTCAACAGGCCTGATTCAGTGAACTTCGTGTGGGCTTCAGAAAATTATTATTATTATTATTATTATTAAACTTTATTTGTACCCCGCTAGCATCTCCCGAAGGATTCGATGCGGCTTACACAGGCCGAGGCCTCAACACACAACACAACAATACAATCTAAGCAAATCAAACAATTAAAAACAGAATAAAGCAAAATAAACAACAGGCACAATACAGTAAACACAATAAAACTGGGCCGGGCCAGAGCAATGAGTACAAGATTAAAAGTGCTGATGTGACAGGAGGTGTATATAGGGCTTCCAGGGCAAGTGCGATGTACGATGTGCAGCAATCATTGGTTCTGATAAAGTGCTTATGGGACTTCGTGGTGGAGATTTCCTAATCTGGGAAGGCGCATCGGAAAAGCCAGGTCTTCAAGTTCTTTCTGAAGGCAGCCAATGTAGGGGCCTGTCTAAGGTCTTTGGGGACCTCCTTCATCTGCAACCTTCCCTTGTTTTGTAGCATTTTTCTCTCATCTTTTTCTATGTACAATTGACCAAGGAGGAAAAGATCTGGAGCAGCAACACAATGGCATTGAATTGTTTAAACATGGAACAACAAGCAATAGCCTAAGCTTAACTGGAGCTGATCAAACCACAGAAGATAGCAGTCATTCCCCACCTGATTGTTGTTTCCTACCTTCAACAAGTCTGAAAGTGGTTATTTCATTCCTGGTAGGGGTGGCATGTCTAGAATGGAATGAAGGCTTCCTCTCCATTCTAGAACAAGCTCTGGAACTGTCCTAATCAGAGGAGAACAATGTGTCTAGCAAAAGCCACAGGAGTGAACACAAAGGGGAAACATGGGCCCAGTGGACAAAGTAAGTGGGTAAGATTGAAAGGTTACATTCTGTGGATCATTCTAAGGAGATTTGTTTGCATTTTACAATCCCCACAGATGAATTCTAGAGAGATTCGAGGCAGTTCAATAGTGGAAGAGGAGATCAGCAATCCAATATAGTATCTTGCTATGGCCTTGAATGGGCTCCCAATGTGTCTGTGAATGTTTGAAATGGGAAAGGGTTGGCAATGAAGTTCCTTTAGTCCAGTGGTTCCCAACCTTTTTTTGACCAAAGACTAATTTGACCAGGAACCACCTGACCAGGGACCAGTTTGACCAGAGATCACTAGACCAGGGACCACTTGAGTAGAGACCACTTTGATCAGGGACCACTTGACCAGGAACCACAATCAGAATTGCCTCTCTAGGTGGCACAGCCCACAATACCAGAACTTCTTTTAAAAAAGAGTTTATTCTTCTGAAAGATTTGTGAGTTGAATCTTCTCTACTACTAACAATCCTGACATTTAACTTCTGTGAAAAGGGGGGTTGATTTTAAAAGAGGAAGTCACAATCGAGTTCTGCAGCAAGAAAGCCAACACAGAGCTGCAAATAAATTTACCAATATCCTAGAAAGATATAATTGTCTTGCCCACCCAAGAACATACAGGTTGAGTATCACTTATCTGAACTGCTTGGACAAAAGTGTTTTGGATTTTGTTTCTTCATGTGGGCTAGGCAAAACTACAGCTAGGTGGATCTGTAATTGGTTAAGTGAACGAACCCAAAGGGTGATTCTCCCCAATGTTTCCTCTTCATCCTGAAAACAAGTGAGGAGTGGTGTGCCATAGGGCCCTGTCCTGGGCCCTGTCCTGTTCAACATCTTTATTAATGACTTAGATGAAGGATTAGAGGGCATGATCATCAAGTTTGCAGATGACACCAAATTGGAAGGGATAGCTATTTACTCCAGAAGACAGGAGCAAAATTTAAAAGGGTCTTAACAGATGAGCCAAAACTAAGAAAATGAAGTTTAATGGGGACAAATGCAAGGTACTCCACTTAAGAAGAAAAAATGAAATGCAAAGATACAGAATGGCGGGTGCCTGGCTCGATAGCAGTACATGTAAAAAAGATCTTAGAGTCCTCGTGGACAACAAGTTAAATATGAGCCAACAATGTCATGTGGCAGCTTAAAAAGCCAATGGGATTTTGCTCTGTAAAAATAAAGAGTATAGTGTCTAGATACAGGGAAGTCATGTTACCCCTGTATTCTGTCTTGGTCAGACCACTCCTGGAATCACACTGTGTCCAATTCTGGGCACCGCAATTGAAGGGAGATGTTGACAAACTGGGTTATGTCGAAAGAAGGGTGACTAAAATGATCAAGGTTCTGGAGAACAAGCCCTATGAGGATCCGCTTAAAGAGCTGGGCATGTTTAGCCTGCAGAAGAGAAAGCTGTGAGGAGACATGATGGCCATGTATAAATATGTGAGAGGAAATCATTGAGAGGAAGTAATAGAGAGGAGGGAGCAAGCTTGTTTTCTGCTGCTCTAAAGACTACAACAATGGCTTCAAACTACAGGAAAGGAGATTCCACCTGAACATGAGAAAGAACTTCCTGACTTTGAGAGCTGTTCAGCAGTGGAACTCTCTGCCCCAGAGTGTGATGGAGGCTCCTCCTTTGGAGGCCTTTAAACAGAATTTGATTTCCTGCTTTTTGGCAGGAGGTTGGACTGGATGGCCCATGAGGTCTCTTCCAACTCTATGATTCTATGATTACTATTATTTTTGAGTATCAGTGTTTGCATATACGTAATTAATGAGATATTTTGGAGATGGGGCCCAAGCCTAAACATGAAATCCACTTGTATTTCATATACACCTTATACACATCACCCAAAGGTATTTTATACATCATATTTCTAATAATTGAGTGTATGAAACAACCTTTGTGTACCCTGAACCATCAAAAACAAAAGGGTCAATCTCCCTGGTGGACAATTTTGCAGTATTTCAGATTTTGGAAATCTGGAAAAGGGATGCTCAACCTGTACCAAGATTAAAAAGAAGACAAATCCCTGGAACAATGTAGGTGAACGACAACTCCAAACTCAAGGGCAATGCCCACCAAACCCTTCTGGTGTTTTCTGTTGGCCATGGGAATTCTGTGTGTGAATTTTGGTTCAATTCCATCTTTGGTGGAGTTCGGAATGCTCTTTGATTGTAGGTGAACCATAAATCCCAGCAAATACAACTCCCAAATGACAAAAACAACCCCCCAGCCCCACTATATTCAAATCTGGGCATATCGCATATTTGTGCCAAAATTGGCCCAGTGAATGAAAATACATCCTGCATATCAGATATTTACATTACAATTCATAAAAGTAGCAAAATTACAGTTTTGAAGTAGCAATTAAAATAATTTTATTGTTGGGGGTCACTAGAACATGAGGAACTGTATTAAGAAGTCACAGCATCAGGAAGGTTGAGACACACTGGCCTAAAGGTATTTTGTACATCATATTTGTAATAACTCAGTGAATGAAACAACGTTTGTGTACCCTGAAGCATCAGAAAGGTCACTAGGTCAATCTCCATGGTAGACAATTTCAGAATATTTCAGATTTTGCAAATCCGGAAAAGGGATGCTCAGCCTGTACCCGGATTAAAAAGAAGTACAAATCCCTTGAACATTAATGACACCTTAGGGGGAGAATGGTTCAAAACCAGGACTGAGCTAGAATTGCTATTCTTAGTGGGTTGTTGTAGGTTTTTCAGGCTATATGGCCATGTTCTAGAAGCATTCTCTCCTGACGTTTCACTTCCATCTATGACAAGCATCTTCAGAGGTTGCGAGGATCCATTTCCGAGCACAATTCCGAGCACAATTCCAAGTGCTGGTTTTGAGCTATAAAACCCTATATGGCTTTGGTCCAGCATACCTGTCTGAACATATCTCCTTCTACGTTCCACCCCGGAGATTGAGATCTTCTGGGGAGGCCCTGCTCTCGGCCCCACCTCTGTCTCAAACATGCTTGGTGGGGATAAGGGACAGGGCTTTCTCAGTGGTGGCCCCCCCATCTGTTGAACTCACTCTCTGGGAAAATTAGGTCATCTTCATCCCTCTTCACCTTTAGAAAAAAGTTAAAAACATGGATGTGGGACCAGGCCTTTAGGTAATTAAGCGGATAATGACAATAACAATGTTGACAATGACTTGGAATTTTATTTATTTATTTATTTTAAATATTTCTATCCTGCCCTTCTCCCCACAAGGGGGACTCAGCGCGGCCTCACATGAGCATCAGAGGATGCTAACAGCATAAATACCATAAAAATTACAATTCACAATAAAATCATTTTAAAACATTGTACATCATCAGTAAAAATTAACAATAAATTAATAGATTAACGTGCCAGTAAAAACCAAGCTGAGCCGGGAGAATCCATGTCACAAAATCCAAATTTCCTTTTCCTATTGCCACTGGCCTCTAATTGAACGCCTGGCCCCAGAGTCAGGTCTTCAGTTGTCTTCTAAAGGATAGGAGGGAGGTGGACAACCTGATGTCCTTAGGGAGAGAGTTCCACAGGTGGGGGGCCACTGCCGAGAAGGCCCTGTCTCTCGTCCCCACCAACTGCGTTTGCGAGAATGGTGGGATCGAGAGCAGGGTCTCTCCTGATGATCTTAAGCTTCGTGATGGTTCATAGCAGGAGATACGTTCGAATAGGTAATCTGGCCTTATGGATAAGTTTGATGGAGCATCCAACCACAGTTTTCTGCTCATAATGGCCACCAGAATGGTAATTCTTAGTAGATGTTAATTGTATTGTTTTAATGTTTTTAACTATTTATAATTATTGACTGTTTTATTATGTATATATTGAGGCATCGAATTGCTGCGGATTGGAAGCAGCCCTGAGCCTCCCCCCCCCCCAAAAAAAACCAGGGAGTTGAGAAGGGCGGAGTACAAATATTCGAAATAAATAATGAATGAATAAATAAATAATCGCAGGGATTCCAGCCCTGAAAGCCTTGGACAATCTCTTCTCCTTTTTGGTCTTGCAGAAGGCATGGAGAAAGAGCGGGGGCACCCAATGCGATGCGCTAATTCAGTTGCGTGTATCCCTTTGTCTCCGCTGGGTGTCCATTTGGACGTGCGGGTGTTACTTCCCAATGCCTACCGCAACACGGCTTGGGAAAGTTACTTTTTGTGGGACTCCCCGCTGCCTTCATCGGGAGGGGCTAAACGCTGCGAAGCAGGAAAGACGGCTCCAAAGGGGCGAGCGGAGGGTCCCGAGCGGAGGGGCCCCTTCCCAGCGAGCCCACCAGGTGAGTGGGCGAGAGGTCGGGCGGGCCGGGAAGCCCCCTCCCAAAGTGGGCGAGGAAAAGGAGAAGGAGCCCCCCCCCCCCCAGCCCCTTCCCGGCAAGCCCGCCGGCGCCTTTCCCATGCTGGACTTTCCCAGTCCCGGGTGTTTAGAGAGGGCTTGTGAGGAAGGACCTTCGGGGGTTACATGTCACCCAGGTCTGGGAGTTGAGAAGACCTCCTCACTCGCCGCTCCTTCCCTCAGACTACATCTCCCGGGATGCAAAGAGAGGGCCAGGGAGGACCACGCCGCGTTGCACTTCGGGACGTGTAGTCTCCGCTTGATGCTGTCCTCTCCATCGAGAGGGGGGGGGAAAGGGGGAGGCGTGGGAGGGAGGGGATGGATGGATATAGGGGTGGGGGTGAGAGACAGGGGTGGGTTGAAGAGAGGGTCGCCTCCGGCAGCTCTCGCGAGATCTGGGGGAGCTCCTTCTCTCTTTCTCTCTCTTTCCTCCTCCCCCCCCCCCCATGAACCGCCACTCCCCCCATCCCTGCCCAGTCCTCCCCTTTCCTTGCGCGGGTCCCATTCTCTCTCTCTCTCTCTCTCTCTCTCTCTGAGCTGGAATGTTGCGTTGCCGGCGCCATTCCCGGCCGTGACGTCACAGTGCATTGTTGTGACTCGCGGAGGGGAGCGGAGGAGCATCCCTCCTCCTCCTTCCTCCTCCTTCCTCCTCCTCTTCCAGCTGTCAGCCCCTTCCTCACCCCTCCCTCCAGGGTTTTAGCAATTCCACGTCATCGGGGCATTGTCTGCGTGCGGGACCCTCCGGGCCCCCCCCCTCCCTCCCTCCCTCGGCCCCTCCCCTCGCGCCCCATCCCGCCCCCCCCGGGCCCCCCCACCGAACCATCTCAATGAGATGCAAACATGAAAGACAAGAGGAAGAAGAAGGACCGCACCTGGGCCGAGGCTGCCCGCCTGGTAGGTGCCCGAAGAGCTTTTGTGCGGGAGGGAGAGCGGGAGGGAGGGCATGAAGGAGGGGGGCGGCCCTCTCCGCTTGGCCCCAGCCCACCCCTCCATCCCGGGCCCCCTCCCTTCGGGGTGGAGGCAGTTGCTGGAGGGGATCAAACCGGATCGCGTCGGAACACAGCTCGGGCGGGCCGAGACTTTGTTCCTGAAGGGGTTGGACCCCCATCTGGGAAAGAGAAAGGGAAGGGTGGGTGAGCCGGCGCCTCCTCCTCTTCCTCAAGACCCCCGAGCTTCCTTTCCCTTCCCCTGCCGTGGCCACGAGACGGACCCCAGGGAGGACTTCCTCCTCTGCTCTGGGGCACCGGGAGAAAGGCAGCCTCCCATCCCGTTACAACTCTTCCGCCGGGCTCTCATTCATCTCCACTGAGACGGGAGGGGGTGTGTTTGTGTGTCAAGTCAGCCAAGCCATTGACAACCGGGAGCTCTCTCTTTCTCTCACCATGGGGGTATCTCCGAGGCACCTCTGGAGTCATTTCATCTCTCTCTATTGGCACAGCCCTGGGTGCCTCCCTTTTTCCCAGGACACGTGTGGAAGAGAGAGTACTTTCTGGGGAGAATGGTAGGTGTGGAGATGAAGTTCAGGTTAACTCCCTTTGTACACCTTTCTCTCAATATATGTAGTGAGCAGCATTGGCTCCCATTGTGCGTCTATGAATACATATATGTACAGTAGACTCTCAGTTCACTGGCACCCCATGGGAATTGGTAGATGCCACATAAACCCGATGGTGCAGCGAGTTAAACCGCTGAGCTGCTGAACTCACTGATCAAAAGGTTGGCAGTTCGAATCCAGGGAGCAGGAGGCTGTTAGACTCAGTTTCTGCCAACCTAGCAGTTCGAAAGCATACAAATGTGAGTAGATCAATAGGTACTACTTCTGCGGGAAGGTAACAGGGCTCCATGCAGTCATGCTGCCACATGAGGTATCTACAGACAACACCTGCCCTTCAGCTTAGAAATGGGGATGAGCACCGCCCCCCCAGAGTCAGACACAACTAAACTTAATGTCAAGGGGGAAACCTTTACCCTTACTGCTTACATAAATGTTGCTTCTGGTTGCTTGACAGTTACTATTAAAATAGAACTAATACTATATCCTATAGTGTATCATACCATTTATTTATACCACCTTTCTCTGCCCTGCTGGGGACTCAAGACGGCTTTACATATGGCAACTCTTCAATGCCTTTGAACAACAAACAGTTAGAATACAATGTATTGTTGAAGGCTTTTATGGCCGGAATCACTGGGTTCTTGTGAGTTTTCCAGGCTGTATGACCATGATCCAGAAGCATTCTCTTCTGACATTTCACCTGCATCTATGGCAGGCATCCTCAGAGGTTGTGAGGTCTGTTGGAAACATTCCACAGATATATAAACATCATTTTCCTAGTTTCCAACAGACCTCACAACCTCTGAGGATGCATCTATGGCAGGCATCCTGAAACGTCAGGAGAGAATGCTTCTGGATCATGGCTATACCACCCGGAACACTCAAAACAACCCAGTTAGAATACATTTAAGTTAAAAATTAAAATTAAATGCACATTAAAACTTACCATAAACTCTGTATTGTCTCAATATTAAGAATTGAAAACAAATAAAAACTTAACTTGACGTAACAGTTTTGTATAAAAACAGCTTGTGGGTACAGTGTTATTTCTTTGATTCTTTTGCCAGTTGCTTAAGTCAACTGAGAGGCTACTATGTAACTGAGAGTCTACTATATATATATTATGGAGCATTTGCTTCTCTCTCTTTTTAAATTAGAACCACCTCTGTATATAAGATGAGTGTGAATAGTATTATTCAGCATCATCGGCACACTTTTCCATTATGCAGAGGAAGAGATAGTCCATTCATGGGCACGATGATGGGGGGATTTTCAGTCTAATCTAAAGTGTTACAGTGAAATCAACTAGTGGAAAATTGTATCCACCTTTTGGGCATGTTTATGTGACATGTAGAGTGATGTCGCTTTTGCTCACCTTAGAGGAAGCCAAGGTTTTTCTTTCCACCTTTTTCAGAATGAGCCAGCCTTCCTTTTCCTCAAAAGCTCCTTGTGTTTCTAAGGACATTGGTCACCCATCAGCAAAATAAATATGTCTCTTCTCCCCCCCCCCCCATTTCTTTGTGTGTTGTTGTATTATTTTGGTGCATTCAGAGTCATTTTCAAATAAGTAGCCAGCCATGTTAGTCTCTTGCAGCATAATCATTTGGATTATAATCATTCTTTGGATTCTTTATGCACTATTTTGGAAGCCAGTCTTATTGAGTTGACTTCTGAATAAACAATGTAGTATACCCTGTTGTATTGCTGTATGTAGTGCAGTATCTTTATGTACAAGGCTGATGTGTGTGTTTTGTGAAGTTTTACTCTCCGTTCTGGGGAAATTTGAACTACAAGCTCCTCACTATGTAGTCTTGACTTCTCAGAAATTCATGTTTTACTAATTCTTTTTCAGACTTGTCAAATTTATCTGTAATTATGTTCACTTGTTGTTGCTGTGTCATGGCTGCTACCAAGCATATTGCTTTTTGTGGTGCATTCTGTAGGCATGTAAGGCATTGATCTCCTATGTATAATGCACGTGAGAATGTTATACTATAGTATCAATGCTTGGGAAGCCTGTGCATCAAGGTACATAATACCCCTGACCTTTCAAATTAACTATAGACATGTAGGATAACTACAGTATACCATAGTTGTAACAACAAAGTGCAGCTTCATTATATACCACACAAGAAGAAAAACTGTACAACCATTTGGGTTCAGTTCCAAACACTGAAAATGCAATTTTTTTACACTTCCCTGGGATAATGTCTCATTGAGCTATGGAACTTGTTTCTGGTAAAAGTGCATAGGATGATTTCATGGATGTGCATGGATTTATTAGATACTAATATAATATATCCATGGACTAATATGGCGGTATTGGTTGTATTTGTGGTTCTGAAGATACTAAGTTACGATAATAGAATCTTAGAGCTGGAAGTGACCTCAAGGGCCATCTAGTCCAACTCCCTGCCATGCAGGAATACACATCTGAAACACTCTTGTAACACAGCCACACAATCTTTGTTCAAAAAAACCCAAGGACAGATGGCCCTTCCACACAGTCCTATGTCTCAGAATATCAAGGCAGAAAATCCCACAATATCTACTTTGAATTGGATTATCTGAGTCTACACTATCAACCCAGATCAAAGCAAATATTGTGTGATTTTATTCAGCTGTGTAGAAGGGGCTAGAGTGTCCCCCCCTCCCAAGCAGACTATTCCACTGTCATATAGTTCTTACGGTAAAAACATTATTGCTCATGTTTAGGTGGAATCTCTTTGTATGGAAAGAATTCGAAATGAACTTACAATTGATTTATCATTGCTTTGGAGTGGTGGGAGTTAGAAACCCCAAAATCTGGGGCCCTTCCACACAGCCCTATATCCCAGAATATCAAGTCAGAAAATTCCACAATATCTGCTTTGAACTGGGTTATCTGAGTCCACATTCAGATAATATGGGATTTTCTGCCTTGTTATTTTGGGATATAGGACTGTGTGGAAGGACCGCCAGAGATATGTTGTGCCTTACACACCGTTTCATGCATCTCCCACAACTATGTTTGATCATGAGGCAAAAGTGGTAAAGATTGGTGATTAATTGTGTAATGGACATCTAGGTTTGACTTTTCTTAGGGCACATCTACTTAGGTCAGTTGCAAATTGGAATAGCATAAACTGGTTTCATGGTGTGGATGATTAGATTGATCTCTATGGAACCAGTTCAAGGCTCAGGTAGTGAATACACAACCACATAAAGTGGACATGAATCATAATCCATAATATCCATGGAATGACAGCCATTGAGATGGCATTTTAACTCCCCCCCCCCCCCCCCCCGAGGAATGTGTATGTGCATATCCGCAGACTACTTTGGGTGTCTGCACTGTGATTTGCATTCTGCAAGTGGATTTCATCCTGCAATTTGGTTTACATTGGACT